CTCAGGGGTGTAAGGGGTTGGGTCCAGAGGGCCCCCAAAACAGAACAATGGAGTCCGAGCCCTGAAGCCACAAAGCAAAAGCCATGAGGTACCAAAACCGTAAGCCCCTCAACACCCCTCAACAAAAACCATGTCCTATGCCTATACCCTAAGCCCCTAGACCCCCCCAAACGAAGCCATGAGGTCCAGGTAAGCCCCAAAAGCCACCAAACAAAACCATGCCCTTAACCGTCCCGCCCCCCCACCCGCCCCTAAAACATCAACAAAAACACTGAGTAACCCTAAGCCCGTTTAAACCACCCAAAACCCTAAACCCTACACCCACCCCAAAAAAGCCCTGAGGCGCGTGCCCAGTCCGAAATCCAATTGCCTTCCACTCGGTCGGCAACCAAGTGGAAGTAAAAGGCACCCCAGCCTTTGGGATTTGGCGGTTTAGGGAAATATGGAGGGGGGCTTATAATTAGTGAACCCAGAAAGTTGGAACATAGATTTAGGATGATTAGTGCTAGGATTCCCTCTACTTTACCGTAAGGGCATGAGGATAGTGATGTTCCAACTTTCTGGCTTCTACTGTAAGATTTAGGGATAAGAACTTTCGGGTTTTGGCTTTAGGGATATGGGAGGCTTCCGGAGTTTAGGGTCCAGGGTTTGGGATTTAGTGGTTTAGCTTATAGGTTTCAGGGTTTAGGGCTTAGGAGTTTGGGAGTTCAAGGTTTAGGGTTTAGGATTTGGGATGTGGGAGTTTCTGAAACTTAGGGGGTACCCTATTTTGGGGTCCTTATAACAAGGATCCTACCATTTTAAGGTACTATATTAGGCTCCCCAGCCTTTGGCATCTAGCGGTTCAGGGAGATATTGAGGTTTGAGGATCTATAAGGTATGGGTTTCAGTACCAGGGATTGAGGGCTTTGGGATTTAGCGGTTTAGGATTTCGGGTTTAGTGATCTAGTGGGGTTTTAAGGGGTTAGGGATTGGGGTTTAAGGCTTGAGGCTTTCGGGGTTTACGGCGTTAGGGCTTTGGGAGTTTTGGAGGTTTGGGGATCTAATCTAAGGATTTAGGAATTTAGCGATGTAGGGTTCCGTGGTGTAGGTAGCTATAGGTTTAAAGGTGTAGAGATTTCGGGTTTAAGAGTGTAGGGTTTAGGAATTTAGGGGTTTAAGCATTTGGAGTTTAGGGTTGAGGTTTCAGAGAGTTCGGGTTTAGGGCTGTAAAGGATCAGGGGACTTCTTCAGTAGGGTGGTAGGTAAGGTAACTATACAGATCCCCCGTTCAGCTGTTTGTAACACCTTATCATCCGACTTACCAAATCCCAAGCCAGGGCCCTGGGCCATCAGGGTTTGGAAAGCAAGGTGAGGAACTGAGGCTCAGGGGTAGTACTAGTTTAGAGGTGGTAAGGGTTTGTTTAGGTTCTGTAGGAATATCTTCAGTTGCGGGTTTTTGGGTTGGCATTTCCTTCGTCTGTGCCTGCGAAAGTGTCGAGCTAGCTTTTCTACGTGTACATTCTACGGCCCTAAACCCGAAACCTCCAAACCGGAAAGCAATACAGAAACAGGATGCATCTAAAGGGCTCTGGGATTTCTTGGCGGTTTCGGCACTTTTTATTGTACCATTTACGTTTGACACCCCACTTCCCCCCAAACCCTAGATACACGCTAGCCCCGAAACCCCAGAACCCGTAACACAAACCCAAGAACCCTTATGTAGGAACCTGGTTAAGAAACCCTGGGCCTTTACCCAGCAATATAGTAGGATTCATATAGTTCATATAAGGAACCCTTTTTTAAATGCTCCAGGTTTCTTACTCAAGTTCCTACATTAAACCCAACACCGCCCACACCAGGGGTCCGACTGCCCGCAATGACGAGGGCCAAGCCGAAGCCTCGGGACTTGTGCAGTCCACGGTTTAGGGTTTAGGGTTCCTTTAAAGGGGGTCTATAAGGGATCTGTAATAGACTTCTATAATATAGGGGCCGTAAGAAGTATCTATCCTATTTTGGGGGGTTCCTTATTACAAGAAAAGTAAACACCATAAAGGTGGAAACCGGATTGGAAACCGGATTAAGGCCAAATAGTGCTGGGATTCCCTTCGCATTACTCTTCAGGGTTGAGGCTATTGGGTGTCCAACTTCTCGGCTTGTACTGTAGCGTAGTTCCCAGACCCCCGGGAGGATCCAAAAAGTAGATCTCTTGATGGGGGGTCCCTGTAGTAAAGTACCCTTAGTACCACAGGGCCCCAAATTAGGAAATCTACTTTCTAGATCCCCCTGGGGGTCTGGGTTATCATAGTCCATAGGCTCCATAGTAGCTCCTTTTTGGGATTACCTTATTATCGGCTTCTAAATCTTAACCACAACAAGGAGCTACTATGGAGCCTCTGGGTACTCATAGTCCATTGGCTTGTCGCTTGTACTTGTGTGTTATATTTCTTTCTGGGGGCTGGGTGGTGTACTCACGCGGTTTTTGTGGGGTTCCGCTAGGGCCAAAGAAGGCTTTCATTCAAATCTTCATCTTGAAATCTGTGTACGCTTATTGTTCGAGCTTTTCCGGTTTGTGCTGGGCAAGGGTTCGGCAGGACTTTAAGGCACAGGCTCTGTGGGGATCGGAAGCTCGGCTCCAGCCCCGAATCCCTGCCGCACCCACCGGTGGAACCCGCCCCGGCGGATCCGTAATGGACGCCGAAGACTATAAAACTTGTGCTCCGCTCCGCACGCCGCATCGGGAAAATCTGAAGGAGAATCCAACCCCCGAAAGTTTTGGGGACAAAGTGCTGCTGATAAGAAAGAGCTCAAATTGCACATATTTGGGGCTACAGGTAGATCTTCTGGATGAGGGTAGGTTTCTGGTGTTTCGTAGGGTTTCCGGCAGGGTTTAGGGTGGTGGAGGTATTTTTGCAAGGCCTTTGTGGCAAGAATGCCAGAGTTCAGAGAGTGCATGTGACGATGTCGCAGGAATTGAGCTCCAACAAATGAGGTTTGGGGATGTTTGGGTATGGGCTTTAGGGATTTAAGCTTTAGGGGATGCTTCGGGGATAACGATTTCCGAACACCGGCTTTGGCTGTGCCAAGTCTTGACCCCAGACGGCCCGCCTCAAGACCTGAACGTCCTATCTCGCGAAATCGAACTTCCTAAAGCCACTTTATCCGTCTACCTTGAACCCTGACTCAAGCTGTCACCCCGGTATACCAAATCCTACACTCCTTTCAACCACATACTTCCCTTATAGTAACCCGTAACATCTGCCAAACGGCCGGCATTTGCTCTCTCTTGGATGTAAACCATCCAGCTATTCAGGATGATTCTCTCCTGGCCCCAGACTACTTTCAAGAGGAGGGCCTTAATGATTTGAATAGGGTTCCTATCAGGTTCCTGCAAGGGGTCCTACATGGGTTCCTTAATATACTGGCCTTAGTAATCAGAATAGAAAAAAAACGTTCATCTTAGGAATGGGGGGTTTGAGGGTTGCGATTCAGGATTTCCGGCTCCAGGGCTTTGAATCTAGACTTATAGGATCCTTAAGGGGGGGTGGTTCAAGGGGGGAGGGTACAAGGAATCCTTAGGGGAACCTTCGGGAGTACTAGGGAGAGTAAGGGATCACTAGGCTATATACCCCCCTTGGAGCCCCCTCCCTTAAGGATACTATAATAGGCTCTGGGGACGAAATGGCCTCGGGGTTTCAGTCGAGAGTGCCATCTGGGAGATCCAGATTACAAGCCTGATCATGGAGATCTCCATCGACCAACTCTTTGCAGTCTCTCCAACTCATGCTCCACCAATCCCGCATCTTCCCTTCTGCGGACCTGGGTCGGTCGTCATCGTTGACGGCAGCCCTAACGGCTTCGCGCCACAAGGAGTCCTGAAACGACTCCTCCTCTTGTTGCCTTTTCTTGGCAGCTGCTGCACGTTCTTCTTCTTCGGTAGCTTCCTTGATATCATAACGATCAGTGTCATCCTCTTGGAGGTTGGGATCTTGCTGCTGTGGTGGTGGAGGGGGAGGCGGAGGAGGCCGCTTATCAGCGGAAGAACTCGAAGTCCAGCCGTGACCCCAATCTTAGGGTTCAGGGTTTAGGGTTTAGGGTTCAGGGTTAGGGTTTAGGGTTTAGGGTTCAGGGTTTAGGGTTTAGGCCTACAGCCCTAAATGCCTGACAGTCAACATCCAAATACCATAGCAAAACCCAGACGTAAACCCTGGAACTTGCACCTGAAACAGCCGCACCCTGTGAAACCGTCGTTTCAAGTCATTTTACAGCTCTTATGAACATTCAAGCCAACACATAAGACTTTATAAAGCTCTTACAAAGCCCTTGCATGAAAAGGAACACCCGGAAACACCAGAGCAATGATCCGGTTAGGTGTCTGTGTCACATGTAGCGAAACCATTTGCGAGCATTTAGGTAGGGCTTAGTGCAGGGATCGGGTTTGCGGTTTGTGGCGTAACTTTGGGTTTGGGGTTTAGGAGTCTAGGATCAAATCTTCGTTGTTAGGGCTAGCGGCTAGATTTTTGCTGGAGGTTGCAGAGAGAGAAGATCACCAAGCACTCGTTCACAGGGCTTAGGGGGGTAATTAGGGGGACGGGGGTCGGGGGAAGGCCTATATCCCCTACCCCCCTCCCCCGCACCCCCCTAAGGGTCCCTATGACTCATGTCTGTCACAGCATCTTCGGGGTCCCGCGATCATCGCCAGCAGCACCAACACCGTCACCACCCGTCATAACCATCATCGGCCGTCAACAACATGCATTTCATTGGGGAATCCTGAAATGTGGCTTAAAGTAAAGGTTGAAGCTGTTGTGATGTATGAAAACGTCTTCTTGCAATCCGAACCTCTGAGTCCGAAGCACTACATCCTGAACACTCTCCAGAGCCCGAACCCTCTTCACCGCAATAGTATCCTCGTATAGTCCCCATAAACATATACACACACACACATATCATCAGTCAGCCATAGTATCAAGAACTGCAAAACACCTTGTTCTGATCAACCACGTCGGCACTAGGGGTTTTCAAATCAGGAAGAACGGTGCCCATGTCCTTGCCTCACCGATGCCATGCTCGTGGACAGCATTCATCGGGACACAGCATTCTGCACACGTCTTCTGCAAGTCCTCCAGGACCATGACTTGGGGTTCATGACGACCTTCACCCTCTGGGCCCTTCTTTCTACATCCTCGTGCCCTAGGCAAGCAAAGGGGGAAAATGTATGTCTCTAATCATGCGTAGACGTACCCGCCAGGTTTATCTGGATTGTCGAATGCACGCGTAGGTATGTGCAGCTCACAGTTTTCTTCCACATTGACATGCCTTTTCCGCTCATGTAAACAAACCTGCAGCCCCAAAGTCTACAACCAGGCGATGGCCCCATCTGTGCATCCCATAGCTGTATGGCATCGCCCTAAAAGAAGTCAGTCCGCAGATCTAAACTCCCATGTAAAGCTCCTTACACCGTGTGCAATCTGAAAATGAAACCTGACGAACATGTAGTCCTCCATGTAGCACCAGGAGTGCCACATAAAGAAGTTGATGAGCATGTGCGACAAAAGAGGCCAGAACTCAGCGATGGAGGTTTCTCTGTTTCTTTTGAGCCGTCGGGTAAAGGCTCAGGCTCGAGATGTCTTGAGTTACTGAGGCGGAGCTTGCGGACTGGATAGGTGTAAAGCGAATTGCAGTTCCTCCAACAACTGCGCCGGAAATACTAGATACTCGGAGGCCCAAGCCGAAAACCAAGCTTTATCTAGTTGACGAGGACACGGGAACACCCAAAACCCAAAACCCTAAACCCTAGGCAAAACTCGACTTCAAGTCAAGAAGGGCTCTTAGACGACAACCTTCCTCTTTATCGCGTCCAGGGGGGTTCCGAAGAATATAGGAGTCCAGACGTTCATCCCTGCTGCTTGCTTGTGCTCAGATTAGTTCCAGAAGAGTGTGCCAACCCTAGATTAAGACCCTAAGCACCGCTGGCCCTAAGTTAAAGACCGGGTTTACCACCGTAGACCCTAAGTGAAAGGCCCTAAAGTTAAAGGCAAAACCACAAACATGCTTTGACCGTGACCCCTATACCCATAGGCCCCATAGTAGTTCCTTTTTGGGATTACCTTAAAGAACTCTAAATGTGAACCCCAAAAAGGAACTACTTTGGGCCTCAGGGTAAGCACATCTCAAATGCAGTCTCAGCTGAGAGGCCGCTAATGTAGCTACGACGAAGTGCACCGAGATGAACTTCCCGAGCAAGGGAAGCATACCTGAGTGGTAGCAGGTGATAACTTTAGGCTTCAGGGGTTGGTAGATGGATTCGGGTGTTCCTTCCCTATCGATTTGGGAGTTTCCGAAAATAGGGAGTACCTCATTTTGGGGTCCTTACAATAAGGATCCTACTATTTCGGGTACTATATAAGGATCCCCTATTGTCGGAAACTCACATCTATGGGACTCGGGCATGCGCCGTTCGTGTTGATTTCGGCTTTCTCCAGATCCCCAGCCACCCGGTGTAAGAGTTTCCGAAAATAGGGGGGGGGGGGCCCTAATGGAATACCCTATATAGTAGGATCCTAAAGTAAAAGCCAGAAAGTTGGAATATGGATTAATGGTAGGATCCCCTATAATTTACCTTAAAGGGGTTACGATAATGATATTCCAACTTTCTGGCTTCTACTGTAATCATAAGGATCCCCAAGTATAGGCCCCCCGAAAAGCACATAAGCAAAAATTAGGGTAGGGATATCCCATATAAATCCCCTTATAATGAAGCCCAATAAGGTAGGGATATCCCCATAAAATGCTTATGCTTATGTGCTTTTTTGGGCCCCTAAAGTAAGGTATCCGAATTTTCGGAAACTGCCATCTGCCCGGAGCTGCGAGGACAGGTTGGGGGATGCTTGGGCCCTTGAAGTCCAGAGTCTTTGGCTTCGAGGTTTTCTTAGGGTTTAGGGTTTAGGGTTTTGGGTTTAGGGTTTTGGGTTTAGGGTTTTGGGTTTAGGGTTTAGGGTTGTAGAAAAAAGATGCAGACCACAACCCAAAGAAAGATAACAGATAATTCCGAATGAACGGAATATCGCAGCTAGAATATGAGCGAACGGCTTCGTCATAAAGGACATCCTCAAAAGACAGCAAAGTCCAGGCGTCCTCTCCTCGAAATCTTCAGTCCTGTAACTCCTGAATCCAACCAGAAATCCCAGGCAGATGTAGGATCCGCACGGTACATGAAGACGAGGGCACGGGACAGAGACCCGCACCTGGGTCTTGCATGCATGTCTCAATCTCGGGCTCAGAGGAGTGTTCGAAATTAGCCTCAAAGCGGAAATAGTGTCTCAAAACACACAAGGAGTCTGGCGGACTTTCCCATGTGCTGTGGATCCGCTTAACGGGTCTAGGAAACATGGGCGCAAAAGTTTCAGCGTTCAGTTCTCTCTGAATGGAACCTGCAGGTAAGAAGTAAGCAGAGACCCCAAAGCGGCCAATGCTGCAGCAATACCTGGAATACAACCACTGTATGCCCCAATCGACACAAACCCGAGAAAGCCCAAGAGCACTAAAGCGCCAGAACGATGACCCCAAAACAAACCCCAAGGCCCGCAAATCCGTGGCCCCTAAACCCTGAAAACTGAGCCCACGTGGGGCCCTGTTTCAACCATCGCGGTATCCAGCATGTCCACATTTGCGAACAAGTCTCGCTCCACCCAGTCAGGGAACGAAACTTAAGGCTGAGGGTCGAACGCCGAATTAGCTTGGACACCCGATGCCCCAAGGTTTAGGGTGTAGGGCATAGCCCGAAGCTTGCATATCTACACGAAAACTAGCCCCGAAACACAGAAACACAAACCCTCAACAGAAACTCAACAAACCGAATACCAGCACACAGGCATAACCCTGAAGCCCAAAGTGTGCACACCATGCCATAACTCTGAACTGAAGAAGCGTGTTGCTCTGGAAACTCCGAGGGCAGGACTCGCACATGCCGATGTACCTGAGCCAACAACCATTAAAGACATTGTCTGAGGATTCGGGGCCTTAGCCCCTAGGGGTCCATGTACCCAAAAAGTATATACTTTGGCCGCATCTACTATTTTGGTACATGGACCCTTAAGGTACCTGTAGTCCCCATTGTAGTTCCTGTTTAGTCATTAGTCAGGCCTGTTTGTTGACCCGTAGGGAACGATCACGCTTTTGAAAGCGCAGTAATCCCTACAGTAGTTCAACCGTAGCATAGCATCATCCGACTGTTGCAGTATCGGACGCAGGGCGTTGAACGTGTCGTACATCTCCTCTGGCTCTAAGCTGAAGTCCCAGCTACTGTTCGTAGCCCCGATGTGCTTGGCTGAACAGGTGCCTCCACTTCAGGTACTCATCTAATCCCCAACCGCAGGCGTACGGGGAGTGGATGTCTGAGAGTAAGTGGTAGCGAAGGTGCTCGTTCATTGGGTATGCCAAGCTTGCCTCTGTTCTCAAGTTGTGGTCAGCGCTGCCGAAGACTAGCCTCTCCTTCAGCTTCTCGAATACAGACAGCCGTGTCCTAGCGAACACGATATAAGGTGTAAAACGCGTCGGTTGATGCCCAAAGTGCCAATACTTGATGAGTGCACCCACCGACCGATCGGTCGATACGCCGTGAGCCATTCCACGAGTGGCACTGCCGTAGCCTCTGCCAGCGAACCTGCCGCTTGGAAGCTTTACGTCATAGAGTGGAAGTGGTTTCAACGCTCCGTGGTCAATCCTGAAGCTAGACTTTGCCTCAGGTAGTAGTCTTGCCCACGTCTGCTCACAGAATTCTGGGTGGTCTAACATGCCACATTCCAAGTCAGAGATCGCCTCTAATCGCTGGGGGGTTTAGGAGCTACGGTATTTAATATTGGGGCATTGAGGGTCGGACCAGTGATTCTCTTTCGAAAAGGAACGTCACTTTCAGGACTTAGGGGCTTGAGTACAACTAGGGACCTCAATCCTGAAAACGGTCTTCGGGATCTTGGTCCGAAAGTCAACCGGTACCACACAGGTTTTTCATGTTTCAGGGTCTTCGGTGTATAAGGATGGGACTTACAAGGGTTAAGGTTTTGTCGAGGTTCAGCATTGTATGTAATAAGGCTGTTCGGGGCTTCTATGGGCGTGTAGGCTTTATAGGGTGCAGTAAACCCCCCAAAAGTTGGAAACCTGATTAAGGACAGATAGTGCTTAAGGACCCAGACCATGGGGTTTCCACTGTTGGGCTTCTACTGTAGCTAGGCCTAAGAGTAACCTGGGAATAAAAAGGGTGCCCTTTTTGGTTCAAAGGGGCTTATAAGGGAACCTGAACCCTAAAAAAGGGAATAAGGGCCTACTCTAGTTCCTAGGTAGGCGTTATGGGAGCTGGCTTAAGATCCAGGGTCATGGCTTTGTGAAGTTTGGGCATACACCGGCTCAGGGGTTGAGAGGGGTTTACCCGTATCTCCAAACCCTACAAATAGTAGGATATGACCCCTTCACGGCCCTTAACTAAAAATAGTAGGTTATGACTAATTATGACCCCTTGACAGCCCTTAACTAGAGGCTGTAACCCATAAAGCCAGTAGGCCTTTGGATCCCCAGATAGTGTTTGAGGGACCGAACAACCCGCGTGCAACGGTGAGCTTACGAGTTTGCATGACGAGCGGCATCTTCGTGCTGACGAACCTTGGGGAAGAATCGCTCAGGAGTTAATGTAGGGGCCTTGATAATTCGAATAGGGCTTGGGGCTTGGGGGTTCTATTAAAATACGATAGCTATTATAATAAGGAGCCCCCCAAAACCCTGTTCGAATTATTAAGGCCACTACTGGTGGGAATACGACAAGATACGCGCAACCAAATGCGGAAATAAATGATCAGGTTGGACACGGCACGCTAGCAGCAACTACATAAAGCAAGCTCTACCGACCCAAAATCCTTCGACAAATCGAGGCCTAAATTCATTGAACCGTTCCCGACTCACGGGACATTTTCAAACGAAGCCACTACGTCCTAGCACGCGGTGACTCTCTTCTAAGGGTGTCTGGGCGTTAAGGACGCCGGCCTTCACGCTGCTAAACTGCTAACATCTTCATCTCCGTGACAGTCGTTCACGGGGATCGGAATGTGATTCACAACACAGTAAAGCCTTCCCCGAATTTCCTCAACCCTTTGAAAAAGATTGAAAAAGATCCTACCACAAAATCTCACGGGCCTCAAAGCAAAGTCATGTAGGTGATGAATATGGCAGCCGCATCAGCAGGTCGCACTGTCTATCAACTGAAGAAACCCTGCAAGACCAGAGTTCAATGCAGGCTAGCCCTTGAAAACTCACGATTTAAAGGGGCCAATCCAGGTCCTACATTCGCTATGTCCTGGACCCGTGGGTGTGGCATTTGCTGCTCCGGGCTTGGATGGCTTGATGATGTCAGGGTCATCGTACTGGGATTAACGTGTGGATGTGCTTAGAAGAGCCTTCCTGACAAAAAAGTGGAGACTCCCTTCGAAGAAGAGGACGGCTGCTTAGCATACGGCGATTGCTAGCCAAAGAAGCCCAAAGAGTTCGAAGAAGGCTTTGCGAGGTTTGCTAGGAAAAGTTTGCACGGAATTTATGGAGAAGCTGCAACAGAACCCTGAGCCCTGGGGCTCAAGCAGGCCATGTCGCAGACTACGAGTTGAAGCCTCCTAGCCTCAAGTTAGGGGCCTGAGTAATTAACGCTGCACCTTAGAAGCTGCCCCCACCCTGTAATCGTGATTATAAGGATTGTATTAGGGCTCTATTATAAGGATTATATTAGGGCCCCATTATAAGGATTATATTAGGGCCCTCTTATAAGGATTATATTAAGGCCCTATTATAAGGATTATATCAGGGCCCTATTATATTCCTATTATACCACTATTACCGGGTGGGGGCCCCTTCTAAGCTACACCTACAACCGCGGAGCTGGATGAACCCCAAGCCGGCAACCGGCCCTTACATAGACTCAAAGGGGAAAAGGAAGGACCCTTAGGCTCTCAGGGTCCCTTTAAAGGGATCTATAAGGGTCCCTTTAAAGGGATCTATAGGGTTTAGGGTTTAGTCTAATCAAAGGGGAAAAGGAGGGACCCTTAATGGGGACATAATGGGCTATATAATGGGTATATAATAACCCTATTTAGCGTATATACCTAGGGGTCCTTATTAAGGGTCCCTCCTTTTGCCCTTACATAGACTAGAATGGCCAGTAACCTAGGGATATAAAGGGCTGCCTTTTTGGCATTGGGTAACTCAATAAGGAACCTAGGAGGACTAAAAGGGAGTAAGGGTACTACTGGGCATCCTATATCAACTCTAGACCTGCAGGACTCGGCTCCATGTGCAGTAGGGGCCTGAGGCTTTGGGTGAGTTTATGCTGCAACTGTACTATAGGAAACGACGGAGATGATATTCAAAGCTATTCGGGGCGCCTACACTGTCTGAATTTTTCAAACTCGGGACGCAGCTTAGGTTCAGGCTTAGGGTGTCGTGTTTGAGATTGCGACAGACTCTTTTCGTCGAAGTCCTATGGCTTTCATGGGAGCCATTCTTTCGTGCAGACCTTCTCAAGTCGGAGTATTGGAGCCTTGTGTGCTCACTGGGTTCAGGGTTTAAGGCTCAGGGTTTAGGGTTGAGGGCTTCAGGCTTCAGGGGTTTAGGGTTCAGGGCTTTAGGGTTTAGAGCTTTAGGGTTCAGGGCTTTAGCACTTTCATCTAGAGCTTAGTGTGTGCTATCCTATCAGAGAGCTGGGGCCCGCACACTATTTCACTAACTCCCAGCGCGTGTCGCTTGGCCTGCGTCCATCTCGACCTTGGAGACCGAATGATAATCGGTGACAGCTTGCCCAAGAGTTGGGTGCCCCGCCGGGATCCGTTTCATACTGATCTTCCTATTTACAGTCAAGATTTGGGGTCCGTGATTTATTGAGACTCCCATATGGATCTAGCTAGAACTGCAGGTTACAGAATGCCCTCGTTATCCGGCTCGGAACTTACAGGAAGTCCGTATCGGCACCTTCCTGCTTGGGGATCTGAAATGCTGGTGCTGCAGCGAATAACCAACCGTGCTCTGCTTGTGAGCCAAGCTGCCACAGTTCTGCTGCAAAAACCTGCACGAAAACCGAACCCTAGACAATCCCAGACATCCTTATCCGTAACACCCTAAACACAAACCCTGAACAGGAAACCTGAAGTGTCCAACTCCTAAACTTCAAATCACCTTATCCCAGCCTGAACTGTAAACTACCCTAAACCCAGCACCCAAGGCCGTCAACTTGCTTGAACAAATAGGCTTCAATCTAGCGGAAAGAAACTTATCTTGAACCACAATCTGCATTCAACGTCTCCTGGACCTAGTACAGTTCCGGAGGTCCTGGTGGTACATACAGTAGAAAAGAACCCCGAACCCTAAACTCTAAATCCTAAAACCTTAAAACCTAAACCCGAAAAGTTGGCTGCAGGCCTGACTGGAATCCAAGCCGGTTTTCCGACTACAGGAATTGACTCTTCGGGCTTCTGGGTGTAAGTGGGATAGCTTTTGGGTTTGGCCTTGAAGGTTTACGGTCTAGAGTCTTGGGCTTGGAGAACTAGCAGCTTGTGTTGATGCCCGGATCCTTCGTGAAAGCTTTAGAAATCATGAACACCCCTGCACACGGCCCGCACTCAAGAATACGCCAGGCACCTCTCCGCAGTGCCAGACCTTTAAGTGTATGCTGAGGCCATGGCTGCACCGTGCCCCACACCTGGGTGAATGTTGGTCTAATTACTCCACAAATCATTGTCCGACTACTACTATTAACATGATGTTCGCTTTCGCTATGCTTGCTGTTGCTTTTTCTCTTTGTTGTTTCCAATTGCTACTACAGCTTTTGCACACATATAGAAAAATGGTCACCCGAGTAAACTTAAACACGATTGTGACAGGCTTGAAAGCCCATATAGGGCCCTGGGCTGATCCCGCAAAACTTCAACTGTGCACTGTTTGCTTTCTTTCGTTTTGGTGAGCCCCTTTTCCAACTGCTGGTGGACCAGGTTCTATCAAACGCACGGGATTTTAAGGCTTACAGTAGAAGCCAGAAAGTTGGAATATCATTATCCTAACCCCTTTAAGTTAAATTATAGGGGATCCTACCATTATTATTCCATATTCCAACCTTCTGGAGTTCCCTTTAGTCTTCAGTTAGGTTGAAAGGCTGAGGCTGCCGGGCTTGGATTGGTCTAGCCGAAGCCGCCTAGAATTTCAGACACTCCAATATCCCTTAGTTAGGGAATATACCTTAAATCATATTACGGATCCGACTCTCATTTAAGGAATACTCCTTAATTGATATTGGAGTCTCTGGGATCCCATCCCAAATCGGGTGTCGGGTTTGGTGGGTAAGGCTTTGGTACACTACTGAGGCCCTACAAGCCCAACAGCATCCTAAAACTCCAAACCCTGTAAAGTAAAAGCCAGAAAGTTGGAATATGATTATCCTAACCCCTTTTATGGTAAATTATATGGTATGCTACCCTGAAACCATATTCCAACTTTCTGGAGTTCCCTTTAAGTCCCTAAGGCCCTCAACTGCTGAACGTTAAACCCCTAAAGCCCTAAACCATCTTGGACTCAAAAGTTTAAGGGCTTTAGGGTTCAAGGGTTCGGCATAGTGCTACAAAAGGTCGACAGAAGATGAAGAACTAAAATGTGGGAAACAATATACACCGCAGGCACACCCCCAACCCACACCCTAACCCCGAGACCGTCTTTACCAGGATTCAGGCTCGACAGACGTGCTCCAAACTGTGCCCCGAGCGGTGTCTTCCTCCGGGGCATAGTTCATCAGAGGTAAGTAGATCGGCCGGCACTTTGCGCGGCCTCGGCGTTGGCCGGATTCAGGTACCTTTCTAGGCGCTCCGTTCCCCTAAGCCGTAAGCCACAAACCCTTGGGTCGTGCTGATTTGTGGTGCTTAGGACTTGCCTTTTCGAAGCTTTGGGTTGCCCCTTTTAGGGCTGAAGGTTTAGGGATGACTAGTTTAGGGTCCCCACCTTGGGCCTCGAACAATTTGCCGCCAAGAGTTTACTTGGATTGAGAGGCTTAGGATTTTGTGTGCCGATCGCTTGGGCTCTTTACGCTTGTGCCGTGTTCTTGCAAGAGCTCATATGGAAACAACCACCGAACACCCTCCGAACCCAACCCGGACCCTGCAGTAAACCCGACACCATACAAACAACGCCGAAAACCCAAAGCCCGGAAACGAAACACTCAAACCAGAACCCCGAAGAACCGAACAACATGCGCGATGATTGAAATGTTGTTTGAACACAGGGTGAACAAACCCATGACGTGTATATGCATCATCTAGTATGCTTTGCTTGGGGCATTATTGTTGGATGATTTTCAGTCAAACCATCAACTGGTTTTAAGCTATACCTTAAACAGGTTTCCAGATGTCCGTTTCGAAGGCTACTTTCTTCTCTTGAAGACCTCGAACTCAGAGGCACAAGACTTGGAACCCAGAGCCCATTACAAAAATGTGGTAAACCAGCTATAATCTGTTCTGGGCATTTCACCCTTGCATCTGTTTCCCGTAAGACATGGGAACCTTGACCTCAAATCTTACAGACAGCGTTTGCTCCCCAAATTCTGTACAACCGTAATCAAACCATACAGTGGCAGCGACAGCTTCAACTGTAAGATGCTTGGCAATAATCGGTTTGAGGTTTAGGAATCAGGGCTGACCCCTAAACCCTGAAACCCTGAACCTTAAGCCCTAAACCGGAAGAGTAACAAACTGCGATGAACGAGTCGAGGGCCCTCTGTCATCAGCTTCGTCTTGGCGGTCATATGCCAATCCTTCACCGGGCCACTCTTAGGGCTTAGGGCTAGGAGGCTGGAAAGCCAAGAACAGACCCTCCTCTTCTTTTACATCCTCATGTCCACAAGAAACACAGCTATGGGCAACTGAGCCTGATGTGGAATCGGTCTGCTCAAATTCCTGGTGACATTCCCGAGGCCGAAAACCCCACGAAACCAAGGCCTAAAGCCTAATTCCTTGTTCAAGCCCCTGCAGACCCGACAATATTCAGGCCACTAGAACACCCTCATCAAACACACACCTGCCATCCTTCCAAACGATGTTTGTAACTACCCAGATGCAGCTCTTACGTGAAACCCAAAAAACACCATAAACCCTAAACCCTTGTGAAAACCCAAAAACACCATATATAAACCCTAAACCCTTATGAAAACCCAAAAACACCATATGACAAATTTGGTAAAAGCAACAGCCCCCCCCCCCCCCCCGGAGGAGTGCCTCTGAGATGAAGTCCGGGTCCCACCCTGGACCAGGGAAGCTTAGGGTTTAGGGTTTAGGGTTTAGGGGTTTAGGGTTTAGGGTCTAGGGTTTAGGGTACAGTAAACCCCATAAAGTTGGAAACCGGATTAAGGCCAAATAGGGCTGGGATTCCTTATACGTTACTCTTAAGGATTGAGGCTATGGGGTTTCCAGCTTTTGGGCTTCTACTGTAGTCTAAGGTCTTGAGTTTTAGACTTTCAGGATTTGGGCGGAGTAGAACCTTGACAGATTAGAGTTTAAGGTTTAGGATGGGTAGAACTTTGATCTTGGGTACATGTGCTTGGGTTCTGGGTGTGGGGTTGGGGCATTGAAGGGCTAGGTGATTTGGGTTTTAAGGTGTAGGAATTAAGGGCTGGGGTGCTTAAGGGTTGAGTGGCCGGGTGGTCTAGGATCTAGCATTTCATACGGGGTTTATGGGGGGGTGGAGAAGGTTATAGAAAAGCGGGGGAAGGTGTATGAAGGTTCAGGGTATCCAAGAGTTTAGGGCTTAGGAGGTTGGCGTTGAATTATAAGGGCTTCGGGGCTCGTAAGTATTGTTGGGTTTCGCGAGGGGGAGCCTAGGTTTCTCAGTAATCCAAACCTCCCAACTTCAACCCACAAACTTCAAGAATACACCGACGACAAGTATGTGCAGTGTCCAAGTAGGACGTTTGACCGAACATCGGCAAAGCCAATCATGATTGTTTGGATACCAAGTTCCCTTACAGTACTCATAGCAAGACCAATACCCTTACACGCCACAGACCTTGACTCCTCAGAAAGCAGGAGAAGCATATGGGAGTTTCCCAAAATGGGGGACAGCAGGATCCTTATTACAATTACAAGGACCCCACATTTTCGGAAACTCCCAGACCGAACAGAGTCGGAGGATTGAGAAAGTGTCTCAAGCCTTGGCAAGCCGATCCTATATTCCTCCCCTTGGGGTTTAGGGTTTAGGGTTTAGAATCCTGAACCAGAAAGCGCCTCCTACAGCGCTGGCAAGCATCAGGCTCAGCGAGTAGCTCGAGAAGGCCACGTGAGCATCAACGGGATTTGCCTGGAAAGCAGCTTTCTCTTCACTTGATGCCCTACATCCCTTATAAGCCCCTTTGAACCAAAAAGGGCATTCTTTTTTCCTCCTAGGTTCTTGGGTCTAGATAAGGGTTCCACCCTAAACCCTAAACCCAAAACCTAAACCCCTGAAGCCCTAAACCCTTAACCTCTAAAACCCCTGAAACCCTAAACCCCTAAACCTCTAAAACCCCAAACCCTAGTTCCTGAAACCCCATACCTTTCGCACCAAACCCAACCACAAACCAACCCGGAGCTCCGAAATCCGAACCCGAACGACAACCTCTGAACCCTGATCTGCAACCCTGAACCCTCAACCCTAAACTGAACCTTACATAAACCCTGAGCCCTGAACCCTGAACCCCATCCCCCAGGAGTTGAGTAATTTGTGATATTCTGCTCGTAGAGAGAGTTCCTGTATAGTCGCAGCTTAGTACAACCTCAAGATCCGTTGCATGTGCTAAGGCGCCTAGATTGCCAATATGACATGTTATGAAAACACGGCAGTCTCAGCAGTTTTGGTTGGAAGGTTCCGGGGTCCAAAACATGAAGGCTTAGGGCAATTAACCCCCCCTCAGAACAGGGAATACACATCTGCGTTCAGAATACTAAGCTGGCAGTTTAAAGCCTTTGAGCAGTATTCGTATGAATTAAGGTCCTCATATGCCCAGTACAAGAGAATGCCAAATGTCCCAAAGGTCTACTGTACCTTAAACAAGACCCTCATGACTTCAAGATGTGAAAGCTCCTACGGTGGACATGCATGTCGCTTCTAGTTCGAGGTATGTCGCTACTTCTGGAAGCAACGAACCCTAGTTATATCTCTAGCCCCAACGAACAGGACTTCCACGACGCTGACAACACCACCATTGCCCGATAACAAAACCATGACGGCTCATCAAACGGATCCCTGAACCCCAAACCCTGGCCCTAAACGCGAACCCTAAACCCTATACGCCATAAACCCTAATCCTAGCTTCACTCCTCAAAACCCTGCCCCCTGAAAATCCACTTCAAAAAAACGCAATCGAACAAACCCACAATCCTACGCCACTCCGACTTTGCCCGGCTGCAAGGCAGGCGAGCTCGTGCAAAGATGTGAAAAGTGAGGCATTTCGGACAAGAATCGGCCTCGGTTTCGGCTTGGTAGTCAATAGACCATAATATACTGGTACAAAAATGTACTATGATATACTGTTTCGGTTTAGGCGTCTCGAGGCTTCGGTCTCGAAGCTAGAATTGATAGTTTACTTACGGTGCGGAAGCTACATGGGGCTGCAACTAGGGCGTTTTGCTTGCAAGGCTTTCCCTTCCCCCCGGCAAACACCAAGCCTAATCTCTAAACCCCACACCCCAAGCCTTAAACCCGAAACTCTAACCGTCTGAACCCGAAACCCGAAACTCTAAACCCTAAACCCCTAAACCCTAAACCCTAAAACCCTAAACCCCTAAACCCTAACCCCTAAACCCCTAAACCCTGAACCCTAAACCCTAAACCCCTAAACCCTAAACCCCTAAACCCCTAAACCCTAAACCCCTAAACCCTAAACCCCTAAACCCTAAACCCTAAACCCTGAACCCTAAACCCCTAAACCCTAAACCCTAAACCCCTAAACCCTAAACAGAGTCTGAGATTTTCAGACGGGCGTTGATTTTAAAGGCTGGAAGGGACTCAGGGGCTCCACCGGCTCTAAGGTGTGAGGAGTTAATAAACCATCATATACTACATGGTTTAGGGTTTAGGGTTTAGGGTGTAAGAGTTTAGGGTTTAGGGTGTAAGGGTTTAGGGTTTAGGGTTTAGGGTGTAAGGGTTTAGGGTGTTAGGGTTTAGGGTTTAGGGTTTGTAATATACGACCATGTACTCAAAATCATATATATATATATATATGTGTATATGTGTATACTGTTATATGCCTCACGGAAGGAGTCGTACTAGATTCTACTTGAGATACTATAACAAACCAGATACAAGAACTTTTATGTCCTACAATATATTGGCACAGGTATGTACTATGTTCTACCATAATATACGAGTACTGTAGTATACAGCAATATAGCATAGTGTACAGGTACGACAATCTACTGTGAAGGTACAGTAGGGCACTACGGTTTGAGGCTTCTGGGCTCTTGGCATCTTGGAGATAAGGATTTAGCGGTCTAGCCTTCAGCCCTTCACGCGAGAGCATAGTTCTCTAACTTACGTTCTTGTTTAAGGCTCTGTAGGGGAAGGGATCTATAGGGGTTTCTAATTATACGGTCTCTCCAAGGATACTATAAAGGTAGTTCTCTAAATTAGGTCTCTGATAATCCTTTTTAATACAGGGGTGCCGTACTACCTCGAGAAAGACCTAAATGCAGAGAAATACCCCATATGCCGTAAGCGCAGCCTGCACGCCTCCCAGCAACCGTGAGTTGAACAACACCCCCGAACGTCCGAACTTTTGCTCACTAACCTCTGGTGGAAGATGGAAGCGCAACTGCTGCAACCCAAGCTATACAGTAAGGATAGCAAGCCCCGGACTGTGAGAGGAAGTTCTTGAAGTGCACGATGGGCGGTTGGAAGAGCGTGAGGTAACGATCAGACTCGGGCATCTGACGCGCGAAGGGCTTCGCATCAGGGGGCTCAGTAAGCTAGCTGTTGCTAGATCATGGCACTTCATCCACACCCTAAAACCCTGAATCCAAGACCCACAAGAGTAATGCATAGGGAATCCCAGCATTCTTTGGCCTTAACTCGGTTTCCAACTTTATGGGGTTTACTATACACCATAATATCACTAAACCCTAAACCTTAAACCCTAAAACCTAAACCCTAAACCGAGGGTTCACTGTAAGCCCTCTCGTCTCTTCAGAGGTGAGATTTGGCTTTCCGCCGTTTAGGAAACCTGGGGCCTTCCCTCTTCGAGGGTTGGGGTTCGAGTTTAGGGGGTTCAGGGGTTATAAGGGTTTGGGTTTAGGGGTTTAGGGTTTAGGGTTTAGGGGTTATAAGGGTAAGGGCTTAGGGTTTAGGGGTTTAGGGGTTTAGGGTTTATAGGGGTTTATAGGGGTTTAGGGGTTCGGGATTTGGGGGTTTAAGGTTCTGGGTTTGGGGTCTGGGATCGAGGGGTCTGGGATCGAGGGGTGTTTGAGGTCGACACTTAGTACTTGCATTGTATGGTGTATTATAGTATATGATCGTAGATCATGATATATGTGACATATGTGCGAAGAGGAAGAGGCCAAGGGCTACACACCGACTCGGATTCTAAGTTTGGGGCCTCTGGCTGTTCGGAGCATTGGGCGTGAAGTTATTCGGTTTCGAGAATTTCAGAATGGAATTTCAGGGCTTCGGGATGTTGTAGTCCGTTCCATAGGGGCTGAATACCCTAGCCCAAACAGTTAACCTTTTCAATTATGGTAGGGTTGGATTATATAAACACCAAAAGGTGAAAGGTTTCCTACTCAGATACCCAGGTTCTGGCCCGTGCGAGAGAGACGTGCGAGAGAAGGCTTCAGGTAAGAACCAGACCCAAAAAACCCTAAACCCCTAAATCCTAGACCCTAAACCCTAACCCTAAACCCTAAACCCCTAAATCCTAGACCCTAAACCCTAACCCTAAACCCTAAACCCCTAAATCCTAGACCCTAAATCCTAGACCCTAAACCCTAAACAGACCTTGACTGTCTTGGTTTCGGGACCTTACGGGCTTAGGACTTTGAGATAGCCGAACCCTAACATTCCCGGCTTTTCTGTAGGCCCCCACTCTAAACTCTAAGGGGACAGTCTTAAACCTTCAACCCTCAACATGCCTTGAGGTAGTGGTAGCTGAGACCCTCAAAATAATTCTCATGGAGCTCGGAGTCGTCGTCGATGACCTGAAGTTTAGGGTTTAGGGTTCAAGTTTCGGGCCTGGGGTTTAGGATTTCGGGTTTGGGTTTAGGGTCCAAACTCTAGGGTTTCGGGTTTTGGATTTATCGCCGTCTCGGCTCTCATACCCATCGCAACTGCATGTAAACGTGTGTTTCTCTGCGTGTGTGTGCGTGTGTGCGTGTGTGTGTCTGTGTCTGTGTCTGTGTCTGTGTCTGTATGTGCACGCATGCATGCACGTATGTATGTATATGGTAACACTCAGCACGGTTGGCCCTAACTGCCGGGTGCTGTGCCAGGTACGCTATTTCGTAAAATCGAGCACATGTAATCTCTGAGCCTACTATTGCTTTAGGGCTTGAGATTCAGGTTTTGCCGCCCCAAAGACTACATCGCCTCTATACTCAAACTGAGCTGAGCCCTCAAGCCTCTGAATGCTCTGGAACGCCCTACACTTCGGTTAGGGGTTTAGGGTACACTCGAAGATCCCTTAAGCCTACACCTCAAATCGCAAGCCCAAAACCCCGAACCCCTAAACTCGCTAGCACGCATACAGGTTCGGGGCCTTCGTTCCTTCGTACTTCCGTGATGGGAGCTACAAACAAAAACATTGAGCAAGTGGCCTGTGACGAAATCCACAAGCCCTTACTTTACACCTCACCAACAAGGCTTTACATTTAGTGCGTCTAGTTCTCGACCGTCAGCTTTTGTGCCCTGTCAAACCCTGCAGAACGTCGAGCCAGCCCAGGGGCCGTGATGATCACCCTCGGGTCGTCAAGATCGAAGCCGCGCTCCTCACAAAGCTCCTCGGAAGGGCCACTTGGACAACCATACGGGTAGCTCTCTAACAGATCGTCCCTTTTAGGGCATTTTTTATAAGGGGTGCCGTTCTACTTTGGGGTATAAAACAACCCTAATTTAGAGAACTACCCCTATAACAAACAGGTACAAAACAAGACCTCAACCCTGGAAACCTCCAGACTGGGCCGCTTCCCAGCTCTGATTCAAGCCAGTCCAGCCTTCAGAGAGCTATGGGAATTTCCGGAAATTGAGGGGGTACCTTATTTCGGGGTCCTTACAATAAGGATCCTACTATTTAGGGTGTTAGAATAGGGTCCCCTATTTTCGGAAACACACAGACAGCAGCCTCAATGCTCGAGGCATCTGCCTCCACCAGCCCCTGCAACCTAAATCAGACGGGTTTACATTAGAAGCTGCCCCCATAGTGGTATAATAGGAATATAATAGGGCCCTAATATAATCCTTATAATCACTATTGCAGGGTGGGGGCAGCTTCTAAGGTTTGCATTTTTGCACCAGGAACCTCTCCACCCAGCCATGAACCCACGAAGCCAAGAGGCTTAAACGCATGCCTCGATTGATGAGGCTCGCTGCTGAGGGGGTGGGCTGTTCACTTCTCCGACACCCAAGACAACAATAACTTAATGCCTCTGAATAATGCCTTATGTAACCCTGAATGAATCGTAGATCCAAACCCTAAACCCGAAGCTCTAGACCTCTCGTATCCACAACACCCCATCCTAAGATCCTGAAGTAATGTAGGGGGCTGGGTGACTAGAACATGGTTTGGGGGTATGATATGACCTAATTACAGATGCATGGGGTGGGGATGCTGTCACTAACCTATTCGGAGCCCTGTGCTAATTTGACCGTCTTGAAGCCTGCACAGCAAGCCACAAGCAGTGAATCCGAAAACTCTTCGGCGTCACGCACAACATGCACAGAAGCATAGGGCACAACCCAAAGGCTTCTTTCAAGCAGCCCTTAAAAAGGTTCCCCGAGATCCAGTTAGCAGGGTTTGGGGTCGGGGCAATATCTCAAAGCAGGCTACGGATTCCAGGTACGAAAGCTGCCTGACACTTGGGTTGCGGGTCGCAAAGAAGAGGATCACAGGAAGCGTAATCTGTGTCTCTTAGAAACACCCGACACCTCTAAACCCTATAAAACCCAAAACCCCAAAAAAACCCAAAGCGCACGAAGACGACGGGAATCCTTCGACAGCTCTTGGAAAGCCCAACACTCGTTCGACGACTTCCCTGGGATGTGGCCGGGCCTTGCAGGAAGCTCAGGGCTCCCAAGGGGCTCCTTTAGGCTCATGTAGGAACCATTGTAGAGATCTCTAGGGTTCCTCTGAAGGGAACTATAAGGGTTCTATATAAGGTATCTATAAGTAGGGTTTTAGATCTCATAGCTTAAGGTACAAGCCAGAAAGTTGGAATATCATTATCGTAACCCCTTTAAGGTAAATTATAGGGGATCCTACCATTAATCCATATTCCAACTTTCTGGAGTTCCCTTTAGGGACCTCTAGGGTTCCTCTGAAGGGATCTATAAGGTATCTATAAGTAGGGGTTTAGATGTCATAGCTTAAGGCTAATGTAGGAACCAATGTATAGGGTTCCTTTAAGGGGGATCTATAAGGGTTTCATAAGGTATCTATAGGGTTTTAGGGTCCATAGGGCTTAGGGGGTTGAATGTAGGAATCTGATTAAGAAACCCTGGGCCTCTAACCCCAAAATCGTAGGATTCATACAAGGATCCCCTAATAAAGGCCCAAGGTTTCTTAATCAGGTTCCTACATGAGGGCTTCGGGTCTAGGGTTCAGGCCTCAGCGTGTAAGGTTTGTCTCAGTAGTTCGATTCGCACTTTCACAACAGCACAGCTTTCAAAGTAAAGTCTCGGCCTAAGCCAACCTGAAAACCCCTCGCGGGCTTGCAAAGGGTTTAGGATTAACATTCCTTGCTATGGGAGTATGCATGGGTTCTGTCAGGGGGCCTTGTTACTAGCTTTCTCTCCATCGCAATATCTACATGCATGCAGTGACACGAAAAACCCCAAGCCCTACTGGGGCTTCTGAAAGGATCATGGGACTTTCTTAAGGAAGGGTTTATCTGATTCCGGATTTTGTCGACAAATGACGCCTCCGATTGAAGGCCAGACCTACTGCACCCTGAATCCGAATCCCAAACACTAGATTAACCAACCATAAACCTTAGGTACGGCCCCCTTACAGTAAGAGTCTATAATAGGGCTACTATTAAGGTCCTAATATAACTATATTATGAACATTATTCAACTATTACTGAGTGGGGGCCGTACCTAACATAAACCCTAATGGTTTAGGGTTTCGGGCTCAGGGTTTAGGACTGGGGTGCACTGCGACATGATTTAGGGCTTAACCCAACCTTAACCCGGAATGACCTACCTTTTTTACGGACTACTAGGATACCCAGTAACCTAAGAATAAAAAGGCCTCTCTTTTTGGTATTGCGTAACTTTATAAGGAACCTAGGACTACAAAAAAGGAATAAGGGTACTACTGGGCATCCTAGAACAAAAAGAAACCACAATTTGCACTAAGGAGCCCCTAACGTGTAGCTTACTCAGGGATAAGGAACTCCCCCAAAACCCACAGAACCAACAAAAATGACAGTCGCTGGGAGTCCAGCAAATTGGGCGGATGGTATGCAGCCTGAAGGCGGTCATTGGGTTCTTGCTAAGGAATTTATTGTAAGTTACCATGTATTTAAACAGCCCTATGATTTACAAAACGATCCCTGTTATGGTAACTTAATTTAGATCCCCTGACAAAAGCCCAACTCACAAATGAGGGCTTCGGTGGGTATCTTTGGCCTTTAGGGGATCAGGCATTACGCACTTGAAGTAGCTGTTGAGGGGTTTCTTCCACTGTCACTCACATAAGGACGAAAAAGGAATATCTATATCTATATCTCTATGTTATATACATCTACTATATATATATATATATACACACTATGCTCTGCAATAGTGTCAACCTTCGGAATTTGGCTTCTCGTGCATGAGGTTCCAGCATGAAGGGCCTCAGGGTCTACAGTGAACCCCAGAAAATGGAACATGCATAGGATGATTCGTGCAAGGATTCCCCATACTTTACCTCAAGGTCCTGAGGATAATGATGTTTCAACTTTCCGGCTGCTACTATAATTAGCCATGGACAGGTGGAACAGCATTGCATGGGCGATTGCAAACTTGCAGCATTTGACCGTGTTGACAGCATTTGTGAACTTCATGCGATGTTGATAGGCAAAAGATTTGTTTGGTAGTCTAAACATGGCGTCGTATATGCAACTGGTTAGCAGGAGTCGCTGCAATGGAAATTCAGTGCCACGTATATAGTCAGTCATCCTAGACCGTAAACCTTAAACTCCAAACCCTCTGCTGCTCTGATATCGCAAAGTACGGATCTGCTACTCGACTTGCTCCTAAGACGTCACTGCGGTGAGGCTACTTTTCAAAACAGCACATTGTACTATATCGTGCTATTTTATACCATGTTGTTTCACTTTGTGCTATGTCGTACTACGGTAAAACGTACTGTTTACTATTTGCGATCCTGTACTATAGGTGGTGATGAAGACCCTCATGAGCTCACAAACTCTACTGCAAGGATGCTCCGGAGAATGCTGACGGCCCTGCTACATTCCGAAAGGGTTGGGGCTGGGAGGCTTTGGGCTGAGGGTTTACGGTAGCTTCCCCCGCCCCAGTAGTCACCTGCCACACTAGCCGCACCCAAAAAGCAAGTACGTTGACAGGTAATGAAGCTGGCTACAGGCCGATCATCCAGACAGCCATCCCAAAGCCCGACCGAAAACCTCAGCGCCAACCCCTCCACTACGACGACCGCTGCTGCTGGTGCTGCTAGCTCGGGCTGCTGCTGCACCTAGTGCCTGTCCTGCTGCTGCGAGGGCATGTACCCCCCCGAAACGTTCAGGGTTTGGGGTTTTCACTTCGAGCTTCTCATTTTAGACGATCCGGTTCGTGGGAAAGTTGGGTGAGGGCTTTAACCCCTAAACCCTAAACCCTAATCCCTAAACCCTAAGCCCTAAACCCATTTAAATTCCTTTAGGCGAACCCTTGCAGACGGATAGCAGTGACAAAGGCGAACTCGCCGGCATACTCCTCTTTCAGCTGCTGGAACTGGCACAGATGTGGGCGTCTCCATATGTGGGTGGTTGTCAAAATTATGGTACCTTTTTGGGCCCCTATAATAATACGGCATCTATTATTTTAGGGTACCCAAAAAGGGACCATAATTCTGACAATTAGCTTGATTCATAGAGGGATAAACTAACAGCAGAACGTAGGGTGAACAAGAACGTCACCTCCAACATCACACAGGTGCGAGGTGTCTATCCGCCCTTGGCCCCAAAACACAACATAATGTTCCAACCCTCGCGTTGCCCTACAGGGTTTAGGGTGTAGGGTTTAAAGCCGGATAGTCCCGGGGCGGAGTACCCGGTTTATAGAAACCCCAAAAGGATAAAGGTTACCTAATCAGCTACGAAGGATAATTCCTACAGGGAGTCCTTGTAGAGATGCCGTGGTCTTTGAACTATTTCCTGACATTGAACTAACCATGGGGAAAAAGTATAGACTTTTAATTGCTAGTGGTTCCTTTACCCACAGGCCCCATGAAAGTTCCTGTTTGGGGTTCAAAAATAGAATCCTATAAGGTCATCCCCAAAGGGAACTCTACGGGGTCTATGGGTAACGGGTAAGGAACAGGTCCGCAAAAAGTATTGAAGTATGGGACTCCCAAAACTAGTTTCAAGATGCTGCAAAGCCCGGAAAACATCTTGGGGCGGACTAGCCTCTAACTGCCCCCAAATCTGTCTCCAAGTGTTCAAAACAGCATGTTGGGTTATGAGGGTTCAGAGGCTCGTCCATTGGTTTAACTAAGCATTCTACCACTATTTCGGGATTCTTGGATCAGCATCCCGGGTTTCAGAGCTCCCTTAGATGCTGACCGAGCCATAATTCCACACCCCGCAGCTCAGGCTCAAACCCCAGTTAAAGCCGAATTATGTGGGTGCTTGTCAAAATTTAGGTCCCTTTTTGGGTACCCTAAGTTTTAGGTGCCGTACTATATTAGGGACCCAAAAAGGGACTATAACTGTGACAACCACCCATGTACCTCTGGTGCCAGGAGGTCCGGGCTGTAGCGTATCTTAAATATGCAGTATAGACACAGGAACCTCACAAGACCACTTAGGACTTGGCATATATGTTCGCGCATGTGAAAAGGAACTCGAAGGAGGTCTGCTTCGGGTGTAGGAAGTGTAGGGTTTCGGGCTTAGGGCGTAGAGTTTATACAAACATATATAGAAGTGCGAACAAGAAGACTGGAACTTCATTCCACTGAGGGTCCCTATAACAGACCCCTTCTAGAACCCTTTATAAGAACCCCTTACAGGAACCCTATTCTAAGTATTAAAGCCCTTATATCTGTCAGCCCTATTATAGATCCCATGTATAGCCTTTTGAGGCACCCTGGAAGGAACCATTCTCTACTTATGAAAGGAAGCCCGAACTTAGGTACTGCCCCCTACAACAACAGTCTATAATCGGGCTACTATTAAGGTCCTAATATATCTACATTATGCACAGTATTCAAGTGTTACTGAGTGGGGGCCGTAGCCAAGCCCTACTTAGAGGTTCATGGGCAGTTATAAGTAGGGTTATAAGTAGGGTAACTATACTTATAACCCATATTAGGAGACTTATAGCGCTACTTACTTATAACTACCCCTGAACCTCCAAGTACTATTACTCAAATCGAAAGCTTTCTCCCTGAACCCTGTATATAACCCTCAAAGATCCCTTAAAGGAACCCCTAAAGGACACCCTATTTTTCGAAGCTCCCATATACTAGGATACCCAGTAACCTAGGAATAAAAAGGCCTCTCTTTTTGGTATTGGGTAGCTTTATAAGGAACCTAGGAATACAAGAAGGGAATAAGGGTACTACTGGGCATCCTATATAGTACCCCAAATAGTAGGATCCATATTATAAGGACCCCAAAATAAGGTACCCGGTACCCCTAATTTTCGGAAACTCCCATATATTACTCAAATCGAAAGCTTTCTCTGGCCTTCTCGGGCGCCTCGGGTTCTCGCTCCTCGAAGGCGAAGCACACAGCAAGGTTCGTCCTGTGGCCACTGAAGTTGTAGGTACTTAGGCCTTAAAGGGATCCCTTTGTAGGCACTTTAAGGCCTAAGCATGTGGGGTTTAGGTGGTATTCTTCATTTATGGGGCTCCTTTTGGGGTTTGGGGTTTCCGGAATGTAGGGTACGATCAGGCTTTTTCGTCGTTCGTGTTTTTGAGGGGAGGTTCAGGGTTTAGGGTTTAGAGTATGTACGGAGTTCGCAGGCTGAGCTGGCACAGAAGATGGTGCACCGGTATTTCGTTGCTGCAGTTCACCCAGCTTCTGCTGTAGTTCCCGAACTTTGTCCTGAAACTCGGTGTCTATGACGACGGGAACCAACTTCTTCAGTTCGGCAACAACCCCAAGGCTCCATGTGCGACTTAATTCGTAGGTACTTAGGCCTCAAGAGGATCCCTATATAGGTACTTTAAGGCCTAAGTACCTACTATGTGGCTACATGGAGCCTTTGGGCAAGATGCTGGGCGAAGGCTGGGAGTGCTTGGACTTGCGACAAAATATTTCGGTCACCAGGACCAGTTCAGACTCGTTCTTTGGCACAGCAAAGTAGGCTTCGTTTCGGGTGCAGGCTTTAGGGTATGCAGGCTGTTTCTATATTGCCCTGTTAATTAATTACAAACTTGTGTAGGGTTTTTTGCACCATGATGTTTAAATAAAGGATTCTACGGATTCTGTCGGGTGTTTAGGGTTGGGGGAGTTTAGGGTTGGGGCACTCTGGGATTCGGGGTTTCGGGCTTGGTTTAGCGAGTTGGGGGTTGAGGTTTAAAAAGCTGCCCATTTTTGCCTAAATTAAGGGATTTTTTGGAGTTTGGCGTGCGTGGTCTTGTTCGAAGGCGTGTAGTTTGAGGTTTACAGCTTTTAAACTTCGTTGTTGGGGTAGTCCAGTTTAGGTCTACGGATGGATCCGGGATTCTCTGCGTAGGGCTTATGAAATTATAGGGTTCAAGAGGCTTTGGCTTTGGTGCTTAGGGTTCAGGACTTCGGCGAGAACAAAAGAAACTGCGCCGGATCTACCGTTTAGGGATCGTAAACTAAACACTGTCCACCACTCAACCTCCACCGGACAACCTGAAGCCAAATGCGGTCAGCGCCAGCTGTGGCAGTAACCTATTGAAGTATCATGGGCTGGCAATGCCATGATCGCATACGACATCAACATGGACAAGTCTCCAAAGTAATCTTTGCTACTGGAGCCCGTGGGCATGCCCGGTAAAGCCGAAATCCATGATCCCCCCCCTGAAGCCACCTACACAAACCAAAAGCACAAACCCCTAAAGCCTAAAACTCTCAGACTCCGAAGCCCTCTGAACCCTCCAAAACCGCCGACCCTATACACTTGCAGTACAACATGCCCCAAACTTATCATTACTTGTGCACTACACCCGCTACAGATTCAAATCAGGACTCAACTCACGAAAAAGAGCTGTTTATAAGTTAAATGCATTATTGACAGAATTATTTGTTACATTTATTGATTGTTGCATGTTTTTAATTGCTAATGTATACCCCTAAAGCCTTCAACTCCGAATTGCCTAACACACCCGGAACAACCCTGAACCCCGAACGGCCACAAACCCGGCCTGCATAAACTGTAGTTCATCAGGGCCTCAGCCACTTGGTTAGGAAGTGGAGGGTTGTTTTGGGGTTCAGGGGACTTATTTTTTTGAAGGGGGGGGGGGGGTTAAGGGTTTCTGGGTTAGGGTTCAGATTCAGTTTGTTTGGATCGGTGCTGTTTCTTACGGCTTAATTTTGAGGTGTAGGGTTTAGTTGCAGGCATGTTCTGAGCTTCTGTCTTACTAAATTGTATTGTTATGGCCAAGGGGCTCACGAAGTTGATTACACGTTTCTAAAAGGATTATCAGGATTCGCATTTGTATGATGGTTCTTCAAAGGTTTCGTGGGTTTAGGTCACGGCGTTTTCAGGGTCCATCAAACTTACGCCCAATCTCCCGAATATCGTATCCGCTAAACCTGGACGCGTTAGCCTACAATACCACACATTGGAATAAACCAAGAGCAGCTGAAACGCCCCCACTTACGGCGCTGTCTTCATGGGGAACTTTTGCAGAGACTCGTGTCTACAGTTCAAGGTTCCAGGCTGAGGTTGTCGGAAGATCCTAATAAGTACAAAGGATCTTACGACTGTGATTCGTCTCTAAGGTTTGATATTGCGTAGAAGGACTTGCGTAAGTTTGACCCCCTGTGGCCATCGCCTGCCAAGCGGCTGGAAACTCCACACAGCCTACAACCCGAAAGCCCCAATCCTGAGGACTAAATTTGTGTCTACGATGTAGATCGCTGGCAGAGTGCGAAGGAAACGAGCTTGAGTGAAAAAAACAAGGTAACGAGCCAATGAAAGAAGCAAAAGCCCTGTAGGGTCTGAGGTATCGGCTCGGGACTAGAGCAGTTTTTTTCTGATCTTTGGCATCTTTAAAAACTCAGAACTTTCGACGTGTGTATGCTCTAGGCAGCATAACCTTGCAAAGAAGGACGATACACTACCAAGTTCATAATCATATTTCCCGAAAGTCTTATCCTACAAACCCTGAGGCCAAACTGGTTAAGCTTTTCCAGTTAGATCAGGCCAAGTGGCATGCAGGGCCATCCTCAAACATTCCATGGGCGTCTTGTATGTGGGGATCATCACCACGTGCATCCTCAGAGGACATGCGAAGGTCGGAAATGTGAAACATTTTGGAGTTCCAGTCCTAAGCTGTACGTACCAAAGCCACAAACCTTGAAGCTGATATTGAGGGAGTTGGGATTCAGGATCACGGGCACTTCAGCATGTAACATATATCGTTAAAAGCCGCACGGCTACGTGCAGCCATGCATGCGACGCCAGAGATTTGGGCACATGTCCTGGGAAGCAAGCCGTGGAGATCTTCAAGAACAACACTGACAATCTCGATGCACAAGATGTGGCCACGTTCTATGTTGTCCCCGCTTTTTCATGATCCGAACGATGACTTTTTGTCGTTGGCCGAGATCGCTGACACGGAAGCGGTTTTGCACTGTGACGGCATCTGCTACATTCCACAACTTGAATTCCAACATATTCTGGCGATAGATCAACGCACCGCATGTCCATAAATGAGAAATCATTCTTGTCGGCTCCTTTTCGTAGAATACTTTGGCTGCTTCTGCTGTGCATTAGTAGTACAGTAGTACAGCGGTACAATGGTACAGTAGTACTGTACAGCAGTACAGTAGTTCAATGGTATAGTGGTACAGGAACACAGTAGCGCAGCAGTACAGTAATAGTACCGAAGTACAGTAGCACAGTAGTAGTACAGTAGTAGTTGGTACAGTTGTAGTACAGTTGTAGTGCGATAATAGTGCAATAGCACAGTAGTAGCATAGCAGTAGAACAATAGTAGTATAATCATATTACAGTAGTAGTACTTTATGGCTTCGAAAACAGAAAGGGGTTCTGGTTTGGTGCCCCCGGCAGGCCGCTGCGCTATTGAAGGGGCATTTCATCCGAACTATTGTGGAGTGCGAGGCTATCATATACTACCCCCTCAGACAACTTGACGGGGTCGTTTGTCCAAGAGGGTTTTATATTAGAAATCCAGAGATCTGTAAACCTTAAAACAGATAAAACCGGGCCGGGAATTTGCGATTATGACTATTGTGTGGAGTTTATTATTACTTGCAGGCAGCGTTTGGCCTTTTTCGTCTGTTGAAGGGGCCTCTACTAATCAGGAGGTCACGTTGTTGGTGTGTCACCCGCGACACTTGTTGACAAGTCCAGGATGGCTTCAAGGATAAGATCCCAGCAGTGTCGGTGTAACATACGCATAGTTTTCCGAAAAGAAGCTAAGCAGTTCGGGCACAAGCTCTCATTTCAACAACTTAAGCCTTGATCCCGACCCAAACCGTGGTTTAGGGTTTAGGATCTAGTGTTGGTTGAGGAGCACGGCAAGGCAGATTTGAGTGCATCGTGCCATCCGTAAATCCTGGCCATAGAAGCCCTTGGTGTAATATCGGAGCCTGGTTCGTATTGGGGTTCAACATTATATGAACTACACTCCAAAGCTCTACTCCATTCGTTGAGGTTACTGTCTTAGTGGGTTTCTCCCTTGCGCCTCGTCTCAAACCACCCGGAGTTACTCCTTTCCGGGCCAAGGCCTCCCCTGAACTCAGTTGGGTCCCTCTTGTCCTTACCTGTAGGCTCATACCCTACCCCTTTTGGAGGGCGCCTACTTCTTAAGATAACAGATCCTAACCATAAAACTAGGTATCTTCAAAAGGGGTAGGGTATGAGCCTCTAGGTAGGGGCTGAGTACCCTAGCCCAAGCTAAAGGTTACCTACTCAGCTACTACCTGTTTCAAAGCATCTACATCCTACAGCATACGCTGAACTATGTTATGTTCGGGCCTAAATCAGCAGAACAGGGCTTCTGTGGACATTGCAATTAAACATGAAGGACCATAACCTTGGGGAGGAGGATGCTGTGGATTTTGTTTTGCAAGCTTACACTGGTAACATGTGAAACACAACAGGCTCTGCAAAGACGTGGGTCCAGATTTAGTGCGATTCGTATAAACCCGAGGATTGCCATACTTCGGGAATCCAGCATGAATTCCGCAGAAGGCATACCATCCCCCCCACTACCCTCGAACAGCACTTCCACGGAAGTCCTGAAAACTGAAAACAAAACACAGCTCAGCCAATAAAACTGAAGCGGAGGAAATTTCGAAGCCCTTTAACCTCAAACTCAATACTAAAGCTCTGCAACCTGGGTACTTACTTGAGGAACATAGTTTAAGTTGTCACCATGAAAAAGAAAGTATACTGTTTGTTGCCTATCTCTCTATTTGTAGCTGAGACTGAGTTCTTCGGCTAGAGCAGCAACAGCATCCAGCCGAACCCGACAAAAGCTCAGCACCCTGCAGGTCGTGCCACCTGACAAACAGTAGAAGCCAGAAAGTTGGAACATGGCTTTAGGAGGATTCGTGCCAGGAGCCCTATGCTTTACCTTAAAGGCATGGGGATGAAGATGTTCCAACTTTCTGTCTGGTACGATAATGAAGCTGCCTGAATACTTGGACTGGGGTTTTGGGGAGGGGGAGGCGGCCTTGATACTATAGCTGTACCCCGGACTGAAACATCTTCTTCTGGAGGGTTGATATAGTGTTGTCCAAGACTTGCTTTTGGGACTGCGACTTTTTTGTAGTTCTGCTTACGGCCATGGGGGAGGGGTATCGGAATTTCAGCGCCAGGTCTTGGAGCTTAGGATGCGGGGAAGCTTATAGCCACTCATTGGGGTTGTAAGCAGCCTGCCCCTGCCGAAGCAGCCAATAGATGCCGATGCCATAGTAGTCATCACCATCATGTCATGGCTTCGGCGGTTGAAGGCTGAGGCTTGAGCCTATCTGTAAGTGTAATATATAAACAAACTCTATATATATATATATATATAGATGTGTGTATGTATATATATATATATATATATATGTGCACATGTATGTATGCATGCAGGTAGGTATGTGTGTGGGTGCACACATACCATAACACCAAAATCACCATCATCAGCATCAACCCTTGAAGTCTAAGCCCCTTCAAAGCCTGGAAAAGCCCAGAGTCTCTTCAGGATGATCGGCGAAGTCAAAATTCGCAGAACGTCTCCCTAAACCCTAAAACCCCAAACCCCTAAACCCTAAAACCCTAAACCCTTTACCCCTTAACAATTCCCAGAGCGTCTCCCTAAACCCTAAAACCCAGAAACCTCTAAAACCCTAAACCCCTTACCGCTTAAACCCCTAAACCTCGGGCAGGGGTTTCTTGCTGGTGAGAACCCGGGGCAGACATTGGAAGCCAGGAGGTCCGGTCATGGCCAGGCTCCTTACAGGGATCCTTTAAGGGTTCTATGGAGGTAACACCATCGAGGGTTCGCTTAAGGGTTCTATAGGGGTACTTTACTATCATTAAGGGTTCCTTCAAGGGTTCTATGGAGGTACTTTCAAGGTTCCTGGCCCACTGGTTGCGACTCTTAGGGGTGGGGGGAGGTTGGGTTCGGTGATGTTATACTATGAGTGAAACGGGGAGCTGTAAGGAATGCGGTTCCTGCTTGTTTAGACTCCCTACAGTTCAGCGTGCTCAGTGTTTGAGGTTAGCTTGGAGTGTGGCGTTTACTTTGTCAGGGTTTGGGGATGTACATCCCCGAAGTGGCATTATGGGGCGTGGAGCGAGCGAGGTTTGTCCGGGCTTTGGACACAGGGTTTGCACTAGTGGACGGTTTCGGGATATAACCCATGCAAACCAACCCAGTTCTAAAGATTTTGACTAGACCCAAGAGTAACCTGGTAATAAAAAGGGTGCCCTTTTTGGTTCAAAGGCGGTTTATAAGGGAACCTGAACCCCCAAAAAGGGAATAAGGGCTTACTCTGGGTCCTAGTTGAGCAATGACACCCTAAACTCCTAAACCCTGAACCCCAAACTCACCCCTTGAGGTGCGCCCTCTTTGCAGCTATGCCACCCGATGTCACCGAGGGAGTTCTCCGCCCACACCTCATCAGAGTGCTTTGGGGCAGCTTGGTGTTCATAGCTGAGGGGCTCAGGGTTCGGGACTTTCACATGCAGCATGCACATTCGAGATCTACGTTGCAGATTCACTTGGCCAGCGAATGCCAAGCCTGAACCCAGAGACCAGCATTTTATTATGATTATTATGATCATGGCTACTACGACTATAGTTGCTACTACTAGTAGTGTTGTGAACTCTTTCTATTTGAAAATTTATTCGGAATGTGTCAAAATTTATTCGGAAGTACAAGAATTTTTGACTTGGTTAGAACCCAGTGACCTGAAAGTATTGGGTTCGAAGTCCTGCAGCAGAACGAGACAGAAGGCAAGTTGAAGCCGCACCACACGCCCCACGTTGTGGTGTCGCCCTGAAAGCGCTAAACATGAACACTCCAAAGCAATAGAACCGTAGAGCCCTCGGCTCGCAAACCTGGGAGAACCCTACAGTCTCATATCAAGCCGTACAGCAACCCGCATCGGAACCCTCAAAATCCTGAAGCAATCCTCACAGCAACCCTTGTGGTAGCCCTTACAGGAACCACTAGGGACCAGCAAAGAATAGCAAAGAAACCATTAACAGTCGAGAGCGGCCTAAATTCTGTAACAGCCAAACATGCAGAGACCCAGGGTCAGCTTGGCACGCGGCGCGCGTGGGAGGAGGCATCGACCGGTCCGGCCTACTTCCCGGATCTCTGGGGTTCTATAGGGTTCTAGGTTTAAGGCTTAGGAATCTATATGCCTAGTTCGCGTCTTAGGATGTTTGGGTTTCGGAGGGGTTCTGGCTTAGGGCTTCGGGGTATTGCGGCTTTAGGGTTTTCGGGTTGTTCAGGCTTTTTTAAGGTCTTTAGGGTGCAAGGTTTGGCCGCGAGGTTCAAGTTCCCAGGTGCTTTGTGGTTATTATGGAACTTAAATTACACCATACTAGCAAGATGCTGTGAATAGCATGGCTTCCTTGCATATAGTTGTGCGAAAAGAAAGCGGATGAAGCGTATCGAAGTCCCTGCAAAGCCCATGGGACTGGCGGAGCCTTCGGGTTTGGGCCTTTTTCTTAAGTCTTAAGGGTTGAGAAGGGGCTAATCGATGGGTTTAGGAGAGAGTCCGGCTTCAGGAAACAACCTACAAGC